TAGTTATGGTGACATTTCCACCGTAAATTTATCATCTAGATAAAGGGTTTATCTCAATGGAGCAAATTGATGGAATATGACAAGGTTTTGAACATACTAAAGAAAAGATAGAAAAGTTTGTCAAAATTTGTTAAAATGGAGCAACTTGGCAAATAGATAATGTGGATTTGAGATTGGAGAAAAAATAGACCAAAGATTAAGCACATGAAAGGATTCAGTTGGTGTCCTGTTTCTAAATACAGGTGCACTTGTCTAATTTTTTTTTTTTTTTGGACATTCGAATATCTCGGTCTGATTAATTTGAGTCTGTGTCAGATAGGCCCACTAAGGAGATAAAGCGCTTCCTATCAAGAAATCATATACTCAAAGGTCTTGAACTCGAGACATTTGATTAAGAATAAAGAATTCCAACCATTCCACCAAATCCCTCGGTACTGATACAGTTGTCTTATGTCACACGGATATAGCACATGAGAGTGGGCTATACATTAAATTGGTCCCCCTTCTTTACTCCTCCCCTCTAAATCCCCAAACCTCTCATGCAACTTTTCCAATTTGTGAAATTGAATGGCCATAAAAAATGGCCAACATGGACTTTATTGCAAGAGAGGAACTTTACTGCAAGAGGAGCTTTCTTTGGCCCAGATAATGATTGTTGTGTTGTTATTCTTGACAAAGCTCAAATCAGCATAAAAGAAGTGGGAAGATTGAATATTGGAGTTGGACTTAGCATCAAAAGTTGCAAAAGGCAGCATTTTCACTGTTGAACATGATGGTCTTTTAGTAGAAAACTTCAGAGCTAATTAAATAACACGATATTGAACACGTAAGTGGACCATGAGTTTCCCACATATAATGATGGTAAGTCATACAAGAAGAGCACACATTTATTGTTGTCGTAACAGTGGTGTCAAGCCGCGTACCTGTACTAATGAATCGTAAAAACTTGGAACATTGTCAAGCCAGCTTGTGCATACCTGTACTAATGAATCATGAAAACTTGGAACATACAGTCTCACTCTGTACCATGAGGTTCCCACAAATAATGATGGTAAGTCATACAAGAAGAGCGCATAATTATTGTTGTTGTAACAGTGGTGTCAAGCCAACTTGTACGTACCTCTACTAAAGAATCGTGCGAAGTTGGAACATACAATCTCACACTGTACCATGAGGTTCCCACAAATAATGATGGTAGGTCATACATGAAGAGTGCACATTTATTGTTGTTTTAATAGTAGTGTCAAGCCAGCTTGTACGTACCTCTACTAATGGAGTGTGAAGCGGGGACATATGATCTCACACTGAGTGTTAAACTGAAATTCAAACCTAAAATCACTATGTTATCATTTCCCTTCTATCTCACCCGAAATGTTATTAAAGCTTTCGGTCACCTTGAATCAATGCGTGTCAAATGGGGGGTTGGGCTGATTTTAGGACATGTCAAAATGGGCTGAATCAATAACTAGGTGGGTCAATAACCGGTCCAAAAGTAAGTTGGGCTAAAATTTGGGTCATAACCCAACCCACCCAACTCGTACTAAATTTTAATTAATATGTATTATTTTCTCATGAATTGTTTGATTACCAAATAAGACTTTTTTTCCTTTTGTTATTGTCATATATAAAATATCAAACAAAAAAAAAATTAAAGATATTTTAGCAAAATTATTCATAGATCAATTTGGACGAGAATCAGCCCAATTTTAGATGAGCTGAAATAAAAGAGGAATTTTCAAAAACCACTATTGTTTAGTGGTTATTAACTTATGGATACCATATTCATAATTACTTCCTATAACTATTATTCAGTTGTTACGGTAGTGTATTCGTTGTATTCGCGTTGCTGTATTCATGAATACAACAACAAAAACCGCCTAAAAATCAAAGCAGTCTAGTTGTACGCGCATGTATTCACATGTATTCGTGCCATGTATTCATGAATACATCAGCAAAAAGCAGCTAAAATCAGGGCAGTCTAGTTGTACGTGCATGTATTCACATGTATTAGCGTTGTTGTACTCATGAATACATCAGTAAAAAGCGCCTAAATCAGGGCAGTCCAACTGTACGCGCATGTATTCACATGTATTCGTGCATTGTATTCATGAATATAGTAGCAAAAAGTGCCTAAAATCAGGACAGTCCAGCTGTAAGCGCATGTATTCGCATGCATTCGCACTGTTGTATTCATCAATACAGTAGTAAAAAATGCCTAAAATTAGGGCAGTCCAGCTGTATGCGCATGTATTCACATGTATTCGCACCATGTATTCATGAATACAGTAATGACAATCACCTTAAAAATAGGTATGTCCAGCTGTCTAAGAGAAAGGAAAAACATAAATATTGTATTTTATGCCTCAATGGTAGCGTATACCATAAATACTTATTTTGATATAAAATAGAAAAGGTAGCTATAAAAAATAATATTTTACAATGATTTTGGTTTATAATAAATAGGGCGTTGAAGGGTCAAAAATGCTCCTGAACTATTGAAAAAGGTCAAAAAATACCCTTCATCCACCAATTGGGCTAAAAATAGCCCTCCATCTACCTTTTTGGTTCACTTATACCCTTTGACCATTATGTCAATGCTGGATTTTAAAAATAATTATTTAAATTCGACGTGGCAATTTTTTATTGGTCGAAATTAAAACATCTAACCTATTAGAAAGATCCACCCATATCTACCCGTTTTTCGGACTAACTGATAATAGACTAGATTTATGTAATTTGGCGATTGTTTATGCCTCAGCTTGATTATGTTTCACTGCTATAATATAGTTAAATGATGTTAAATTGGATCTAATTATGAATTTCACACGTTGCAGGAGTGCGTAGCATGTATGAGGACTTAAAACTATGATAGGAGCTAAATTGAAGCAAGAAAAGCCCCTTGGAGCTGAGTACGTGGGAAGACGAGAGAAAGAAGTGATGAAATGAAGACCTGGACTAGCGCGGCCGCGCTAGCCCAGATGGTCGAGGCAGAATGATAGGGCATATGCGCGGTCACTAGCGCGTCCATTAGCGCGACCGCGCTAGCCCAGTTAAGGAAAAATAAATTTCAGGGATAAAATTGGACGTTCAGGGGCAAATCCATTTAACCTATAGAAGGTCTAGCTCACCCAAGAGATTATTATCAAGGTTTTCATAGCTTAGTTCAAGAAAACGAGAGGCAAGAAGCAAGGAGGATAATTCAACATCGAGTTCTTCCTTTCTTCCTTTTGTTTTTATGATTTGTGATGAATTTGAATATTGTTATGATGAACCATAGTATGAGTAGCTAAATATTTAGTCTAAGTTTTTGATGGAACCTATTGAAGGATGAACTTCTTGTTACGTTAATATAGTTTGCCTGATTTAATCTCTATTTGTTCAACTATGTGCTTGTTGTAGTTAATTGACAGGATCCTCAATTAGCTGTGCCTATTTAGTGTGCATAACTCGGGAGAGAGTGCATATTTAGGCAATTGTTGAACAACACCACTCCCAAAATATATGAGGGATCAATAACTGCGGGTTTAAAGGCGGGTTTAGGGATAACGAAGCCTTGGTTGCAATCTAAAGTGAGCCGTAATAAACAAAGCCAGCTCGCGTATCTCGGGAGAGTGCGTCTAGTAAATTATCGTGATTACTCGGGAGAGATTTACGGTAATAGGAGTGCTTATGATTGATAGATATGATTTGGTGATTCTATGTGAAGTATAACCGGAAGGGATTCCATCAATAGGGGAAATCATAACCTTAGAACCTTCTCTTAATTGTTTACAACTCAATCATAGTAAGTTTTTCAGTTGCTTAGTTACATTCATTTGTAGTTAGTAGAAATACCCTCAATTCTTATTTACAACGTTTGGGAAGTTGATTCCGTGGAATTTAGTAAGTCTAACGAGAAGTAATTGATAGGTTAATTCCTTGTGGGTTTGACTCTGGGCTAAATACTCAGATTATATTTGCAACATCCGTGTGTCCTTTTTATAAGGCATAGTTGCGCACGATCACTAACCCGCCCCAACAGTAACCTGACCCGAATAAAAAGTTCTAAATTTTTTTTAAAAAAAAAAAAGAAAGAAAAGAAAGACACCCCGCGTGGCAACATTACCAGTTTGTTCTTCCTAACGACGCGGTGCTAGTAAAGAGCTTATATGGTTCCCAAGTAGGTGCTTCCGGATATTCTGCATTTCCAAGCATTGAGGAACTGGATCTTAACCTTTTTGGAACACTTGGAGAAAAATATCAATCTTCTTGGAGCTCACTTGATGTAGCGACGAGTTGGTAGCGAAATACTTTGTAGATTTTGGATTTCTTTCTATGTCACGATTTTGGCAGATTTTGGGGCCTCTTTTTTTTTGTTGAATTTTTTGTTTGGGTCGGGCTAGTATTTGAAGCGGGTTAGTACGAAAAACTAGTAGATATGGGTGGGTCTTTCTAATGTGTTAGATGTTTTAATTTTGGCCAATAAGAACTTGCCACATGGAATTTAAATAATTATTATTTTTAATTCAACACTGACCTAACGGTCAAAGGGCACAAGTGAACCAAAGAGGTATGAAGGAGTATTTTTAGCCTAATAGGTGAATGGAAGGTATTTTTAAACCTTTTTCAATAGTACAGGGCATTTTTAAGCCTTTTCCGTAAATAGGATGTATATCTTCACTATAGGAGGTAAAATTTCCGAAATAAATTGGGTTAAAATAGACTGAGCTCAACAAATGGACAAGTCAATGACCCGCCAACCGGCCCAGTCAAAATGGATTGAATTCAACAAATAAACGAGTCAATGACCAACCCAACCTTGGGCCGATTCAGCAAGTCAAATGAGTGTGGGCCAAATTGCCACCCCCATATGCAACTATCATTAAATGCAACTTTGTATATGGAAAATAACGAGTCGATCAATCAGCCAAAAGATACCGCATAAACACAATACAGGTGGAATTCTAACACAGATTGCAAACCATGAAACACAGATTCAACTTTTCAAGTAAATCATGCACTTGATGCACAAAAGATAGGCCAATTGATGCCTACAACTAGCAAATCACAATTTTCACCACATTAGGTATACAAATTCTGATACAATGATCAAGACCAGTTTTAAACTTACAACAAAGCATGCAATTTGTTTGATGTCCTTTAAGTGCAAATAAAATTTCCTCTACATTACATTTGACAACATGATTAAGCCACTAAACAATCTGATTCAATAAACAGGATTAGCTTTAAAAGGCCGAAGGCCATGGAAATCAGCCTGCAATTATATACAAAATTCCATTGTTACTTCTTCCCGGAACTTGTTGCTTTTGAAGATCCCACCACAGCATGATCAACCGACCCAATAAATAGCTGAGACGAAAATGTATTAGTTTTTCTTAATTTCCCTGGAAATTCCTTTCCCGAATTACCCTTCAAAGAAAGATTCTTCCTAAACCGGTTCTTGTTTAGTGAGAGCATAGTGCTCCGAGATGGTGCTTGCAAGGCCCCTTCAACACAATCTCCAGAATAAGCACAGCCCCAAGGCTTGGACGGTCCATCTTCATTGAACGTTTTAAGCCTAGGAAAGAACTTGGAAAAAGGTCGCTGCTCCGGAGAACTACCATCTTCGAGCTTGGAGCAGATGGGGCACGGAGGATCACTTTTACATGATTTTGGTGTAGTTTGCTCCAAACATTCAGCATGAAATACATGGAGACATGAAAGAACCCCAGCAACTGGCATATCTCCACTTCTCACAATTCGTCGGGAACTCCAAGGCGATCTCTGCGAGAGAAACCTCTCGCATAACCCGCATCTGAAGCCATCTGAAGGGTTACAAGGTTTACTTAGGAATTCAGATTGGAAGGATTCAGAAGCCTCTGTCAGGTCAAGACTGCCACTAGCACTGCTCAAGCGGTGTTTATCTCTTTGCGGTGTTGAGGTATCAAGTTCTAAAAAACCAGGTGAGAAGCTGTCAATAGCTTCTCTTCTAGGTGTTTCAGTTGGAATTGACAGAGGATGTATGGGTTTAGACATAAAGAAACGGCGACTTGGGAAGCTACGATGAGACGAATGGGACTTGGTGATTGAATCACAATCACTATTGTCAGATCGGGATGAAGTTGAGCCTCCACCATCCCTAGCAGTTGATGTTCCCTATAAAAAATTCATTGTCATAAGAAAGCTGGATTTACACTAACAAACATCAAAAGAATGCAGATAGTGGAGAACAGCAAATGCATACCTCCATTGTGGGTGAAAATGAAAATGGCCTCAAGATCGCATCTACCAAGCGAAAAATAAGCAAAATTAGCAGTAGAAATGAAACATCCAGAATGGTGGCATTAGTAAAAGAGCATTGGCTGAAACCAATAAGCCAAATGTTTCAGAAGCAGTAACAGAATTGATTCTTTAAGCACATTAACTTGCTACCTCTGACAGTGCCCAATGTGAAATTACCATAAATTTAGACATCGGAAAAAGGAGCATGGTCAACCATAGAGTTTCAGTCCATATTATTACATTGTAATGAAAAACTAATTCCATATCATGTTAAGATAGACTGGCTTTTCTACCCTATAAGATGTTGGTAACTGTCCTTTTATAGAAATAATCAAGAACCGCAGCTTCCAGCTTTAAAACTCAGTGGATAATGAGTCCTCCTCCATCTACCTTAAAAACAAACTTAGTTACATTCCTTAGCAGAGTTCGAACTCGTAACGTTGCCTACCACACATAATGTGTTAAAATGCATTGCCCTTGAACCAAACCCCTGGGGGCATTGGTAATAGTTTTTTAGTCAGCTTTGGTGTTTAAGCGTATTATGACTTGTGAAATAGATTTAATATGTTACTTCGAGTTTTTTCTTTTTTTGAGATAAGTATATATTTTACCAAGAGTTACCACCTTATATGATCATGATGTAATGATCTGGTATCTCCCAAATTTTCCAAGATACTCATTCCTACTTTGTAGCATGTTGGTATAAAATTTCAACATTTGTGACACATAGTTAACCCATCCTAATACCTACTTCCTTGTCAACATATCTTTTTCCTCTCCAAGTTAACAAGAGCTGCCACTTTATATAGAATTGTAAGAATCACTTGATGGATAAAAGATTTGAGAGAAGAAAGTTTTGTTACACAAAACCAAGAAACGAACAAATTAATTTGTGCGAGGCAAACAAACAAGGCTGCAACACGTATGCTACATAAGACTCTTAAGGAAAGCAGGTGTATTTTGAAACCACAACGGACCTATTTCTTTTAAACTACAACCTCATTTTTTTTTTTTGGGGGGGGGG